TCCAACACACGAAATTTGGGGGACACATGCAAAGCATAGCAATATCTGTCCTTCCTCCTCCCTTTCCACTGTGGTACTGTTTTGAGACACAGTGGCTACCCCGTACGTATTTCTTAAATGAATGACATATACACGGCCAACCTGGATGATTTACTGGAGAGAAGACTCACTGCTTTATTCCTGTTCTGAAAGTTCTACTTGGTGCTAGTTGTTTCTTTTTTGTTTCATCCTGGTTTTCATCAGCTTTGAATGAGGGATTCCTACTACTGACATTGGATGAATAACCTCTTAGCTCTCTGTTTTAGTGAGTTAATAGTTTCATCTCTCCATTTTTGCGGTTTAACCTATTCGCCTCTTCGCCTGTGTGGTGCCTGCTGACGTCCAGCTGTCCTGAGGAAAGTGATGGAAATTCAGATCTGTGTGTCTTGTGCTTTAAGGGCATTGACCAAAGTTTTAGGAGCAGAGTTGGTTATAACTGGTGTCCAGATTTGAGGTTTGGGAATCACCTTTGTGTGTTATTTATTCATTCATTCTTCATCTTCCAATAGAGTGCACATCAAAGAAATAATGGTGAACAGGGAATGTTCCATTTGAAATTCATCTTGGTATTGTGTAGTCTGAAGACCAAGTGAGTGCTGTCACAGTGGCTTTGAGCTTTTGGTAGCTCACTTGAGCTTGATTTCTTCCGACAGCTTTTCTGGTTTCCATTCAAGCAGGATCTCCCATTATTTTGCACCGCTCCCCTGGTGCTTTGTGCCTCTCTCTGGTGCTGTCCTAGCCTGTTTGGTCCTGGGGTGCCGCGCTGAAGACTAGGACCGGCCACATTTATCTCTCTGTCTCCAGCAGTGCCTCCCTTGCAGCCGGCCAGTCTCAGCCGCTGCTTTGTGTGCACCCTCAGCTCACTGCCTTCTCTGTGTCTAGCCTGCGTGGCTGCCTAGCTGACTGTGGCTGGATAAAAACATGAAATCGTGCTGACTGCTCACTCTCAATTCAGACTCGCTAACCTTCAGTGGACCCCAAATGCTTCCAGCTGCTCTGCTCATATGATTTTTCCCACTACTTTAGTTTTTCTCACTCTCCCTGGTATCATATTTGCTCCTCCCTCCTTGAACTTCCAACCCCTCCTTCTTCCTGTCTCATAGCCGAGGATCTTGCTTCCTATTTATGAGAAAATAGAAGCCATCAGAAGACAACTTCCGTCAGCCCCCCCCCCCCACCACCAGGACTCCCACCTTCCTTTAGCCTTGGAGCAGGGCAGTCACCATGCAGGTCAGTTACCAGGGTTGTTCCGTATGGCTGCGAGGCCAGCAGGGGCAAGGGAAGGCAGGAACCCAGTGGGGACGCAAGTCTGAGTTTCCCCAGAGGGGGACATGAACCACAGCCTGTGGACGAGCAGACTTTGCTCCCAAGGCCCATCTTTCTATTCTTGCTCTAGGTCCCACCCCTCCCCTGCTTCACCTCATTTTCTCTGTGGGACCATTCACATCAACATAAAGAAAGCATGCTGTTATTTCTCCCATTGAAAGGAAACTAAACCTGTTTTGACGCCATTCCTTCCTCTAACCACTGCTCCATTCCCTTCTTTCCCCGTAGCCAGAGTTTTGTTCTTGGAGCCTGCAGTTTCTTTCCTTTTACCATTCCCATCACACTCTGGTGTGAAACTGCTCTCATCCTAGCTCCTTCTCCGCCGTCTTTCGGCTGCACAGTTGGCATCTTCCTGCCTTCAAAGCTGCGCACATGGGACCCCCACGACGCCCTCCTGACCCCACACACGCTTGATTTTCTCTCTCCCTGTCCATCTTCTTTGCAGACACTTCCTCATCTCTTTGCTGTCTAATCATTGACCCTCTATTGATGGTTGAATTGTGCCCCCCAAAAAGATATCTTGAAGCCCTAGCCCCTCGGAACCTGTGCATATGATCTTATTTGGATATTGGGTCTTTGCAGATGTCATCAAATTTAGATGAGGTCATTAGGTTGAGTCCCTAGTCCAATGACAGTGTCTTTAGAAGACGAGAAGAGACACAGAATCAGGGACACAGAGAGGAGAACGCCATGTGACCATGCAACAGAGATGGGGTGATGCGTCTGTAAGCCAAGGAGCGCCAGCAACACCAGAAGCTAAGAGGCCTGGGCCTTCCAAGGAAACACGGTCCTGCTGACACCTTGATTTCTGACTTCTAGTCTCCCAGACCGAGAAAGAATAAATTTCTGCTGTTTCAAGCCACCCAGTTTGTGATAGTTGGTGATAGCAGCCCTAGGAAATGAATAAACTCGTTGAGTTTTCTTTTTATCTATAGCCCTCTCTCATTGATCATACGCTCTCTCCTGGCTTTAGATTATCATCTATAGTCTGACGATTCCCTAATTAATTAGTTATTAATTAGTTTTTTTCTTGAGAGCTTTCTATCCCAGTGCAAGGATTTTTAATAGATGCCTCACACTTAGCATGCCCAGAGCCGATCACCCGCCTCTTCCTCTGCAAACCTGCTCTTTTTATGGTATTTCCAGTGGTACCTCTCTCCTTCCAGGTGTTCAGGCTGGAACTCTCGGGCTCGTTTTTGAGCCACCATTTTCTCTAACATCCCAAGTATGACCTGTGAGCAAATCTTGTAGCCTCTCCTTCAGCGTGTACTGAGTCCCACCCCTTCTCACCATGTGCGCCGCGTGCCGGTGCAGGCAGTGATCTCACTCCTGGGTGACTTAAGTGACTTTGTAAGAGACCTCTCTGCTTGCACGCATTTGCTCCCCTTCAGTCTACTCTCAACACAGTCAGGTGGGGTGTTCTGGCTGTCACAGAATTATGTCATCCCACTGCCTTCCTCAGAAGGGAGCTCCCCATTGCTCCTGAGTGAAAGCCCCACCCTCACTGCAGCCTCCGAGGCCCTCCCCAGTGTGGCCACCACCGCCCTGTCCCCCTCCCTGGCCTGGGCGCTCTGGTCCTTCCGCCTCACTCTGCTTTACTTGCTGTGCCCTGATCATGCCCTTTCCTTCGAGCCTCTGCACTTGCCCTTCCCTGGAATCCCTTTATATAAATAAATATAAATGACATAGTTACACGAATTATATTACAGCGCCCTCCCTCACTTCTTCCAGGTCTTTCCTTAAATGTCGCCTTCTCAGTTGGGTCTTTCTGTCTGATGGGAAGTGGCTTGCCTCCAACACTTATCTCCCTTCTCTGCTTCATTATTTCTCCTGCACACTGATTGCTGTCTAACATTCTGTATGTTGTGCTTATTGTTATTTTTTTCATTTTCTGACCCCCATGCTAGACTAGAGTATGAACCCTCCACGGACAGGAATTTTGGCCCCTTCGTTCACTGCTCCATCCTCAGAGCCTACAGGAATGCCTGCGTGTGGGAGACATCCAGTGATACTTATTGAAAGGAGGCCTGAATGAATAGGTTGCCAATATACTTTAGTTGAACTTATTTTTATAATAGCTTACATGTATTTCACCACTTTTGTGTTTGTTAGTTATGATAGTTCTCAAACATGGAAAAGAACAGCGTCACAAATACCCCAAATAATCCATCCCATATATTTGATAACTATTAACATTTTGCCTTATTTGCTTTATATATTTTGGGGGTAAATTACAGATGTCATGACATACAATATATACATTTCTAAAAATTAAGGATGTTTTTCTGTATCACCACAGTACCCTTATGACACCTATTAAATCTGACAATAATTCCTTTTTGTTATCTATGCTGTCAGTATTCAGATTTCCTAATTGTCCTTTCCAGCTAGTTTATTTAAATCAGAATCTAATAAAGAACTACTCGTCGCATTTCATTATGTGTTTTAAGTCCCTTCTAATCTAGACCAGGTCCCCTTGCCCACCGCCACCCCCTTCTCATCCCCCCGTGACATTGACTTGTTGGGGATTCCAGCCCTGCTGTCCTGTAACATGGATTTCTTTTCATTGCTTCCTTCTGAAGTCATTTAACTTGTTCTCTTCCCCTCCGTGTTCTCTGTAAACTGGAAGTGAGTCTTAAAGGTTGATCAATTGAATTTAGTTGAATTAAATTTCATCTTTGAAGCTGCTCCTCTGTAGCTCCAGGGAACTTTGGGACATAACCCTGATGTTAATGGAGGGACGGAGGGATAGTTCTGTCTTTTGAAGGGCCTGGCATTTGCATGGGGATGGCCTGACAGCATAGATCTGTGTTTACTGAGACTGACAGGTTTTAATACATGTTGTGCAGGCCTCTTGGAATGATGGCACCCCCAGCCTCATTTCTGATGAGCCACCCTGGAAGAAGCCCTCTGGGACCTCTGGGGTCTGGGGTGGGGGGAGCCTCTTCCAGGCTGTGGTTTCAGGGGTAGAATAGAGAGCTCTGCATCTCTTCTGGGTTCTGCCTTCCTCCCCCTCCTTGTAACTGCATTTGGGGCAAATAGAGAGCAGCTGTGGGGTACCCCATTATTTTCCTTGTGTGAAATTTTGTTTGTCCGTTGTTAGTAGCCCGTGTTCAACTTGTCTTTACAAGAGGAAGTGGAGATTCTCTAAGACCTGAATCTGAGATTCAATGTTATAGTATCTTAGTGCTTTGTGTTCTGTGACTTTTTCGCCTGGGTTTTTTGTTGGAATTTTTTTCCCAGATAGGATAATGAATTTCTTTGTGGGCAAAAGTATAAAGATTTGAGCTTTCTGTAAAATGCACAGAGGCCTGGTGAATTACTTAAGAGCTCTAGAGCTGGAGGGGAATCCTGAGAATTTAGTGTGTAATGTAAGATAGAAAGTATAATAATGAACTGAACTTACTTCCTTGGATCCTGGTTTCTGAACAATCTGTTTTTATGGACTAAGCGCACTTAGTCTACTTATTATCATGTTGTGTGATAGTTTAGATGTACGGGATATGTTGACCTGGCTTTTATTGGTCATGACTTAGGAAGTACTCATGTTACCAAAATGGCATTTTAAGGAAAAGCTGCCATCATCTAATGTAATGCCAAATCACAACCTTTTCATTTCTTTCTTTATGACACAGGAAATCTGGGAGCCCCTTATGCAGTGGCTTGGGAAACATGTCGGTCCTGAAGGAGAAATAAAATCCAGCAAGCTCTCTCTTAAATTTGTTTCATCCTGCACGTCTGAGATAGAAATAACCCCGTCCTCTATACCTGTGCTTACTGACAAGGAGGCCTTCTCATCAGAAAATTTTAACTTAGAGATATATCGGCAAAATCTGCAGACCAAGCAATTTGGAAAAATAATTCTGTTTGCAGAAGTGACACCCACGACCATGAGTCTGCTGGATGGGTAAGTTCTGATCAGGCCCCCTCTGCACCTGCTTGGAGGAATCCTGTTAGGGTAATTATTCTCTCTAATATCAAGGGAGGGGGATGGAGTTGTAGAATAATGCATTTGAACAAACCTATTAGCAAGGTAGACGTACTTTCCTGTCCTAGAAGAGTTAAAATGTAGGAAGAGAAGTTAATGTAATCTAATCAAAGATTTGCGTTTTATGGAATGGCAGTTTTTTGTGCCTTGTGTCTTCCTTCCTGGACTCAGGCCTTCATAATGTTGCAACATTATGAAAAAAAGTGTTTAACAGGTGGCATTATTGCTCAGGTTATCGTTCTACTTTTGTGCTGTTACATTCAGTGTTGGACATTTAGGATGTTTTGCAGGAGCATTAGAATAGCAAATTGGAATGGCATGGAAGCGTGTTAAATTGAAATAAGTTGAACGTTTGAATTTTGAAAACTGTTTTGGTACGTTCCTATCCAATACCTTTTTTAGGCACTCTGTAACTCCATTTGGGTGTTTGAAATTTACTTTTATTGCAGATTTTCCTTTTTATTCCTTCTGTTTTGTGGACATTGATTAAAGGTTAAAAATGGAAAACGTGAAAGGAATTTTTTAAAAACTTCCCAATTAGTATTAATTAATGCTATTCTAGATTAAAAAGCCAAGTTATAGAGGGAGGGACTAAGAAAAGCATCTTCCCTAAATGTGGAATCAAAATTAAAGGAATGAAAGACTCCCCAAATACCTGGATTCACAGTTTCCAGGCGTTTCGCCCATGGGACTGCGTGGTTAGACAGATGCATAATTCAGTGCGTGGAAATGTTTTGGCCTTTGTTCTTAATAGTAATTTCTGGAATTTAATAATGTCGATATACAGTAATGATATAACTGGCATTTTCTTGACTGTCACACTCAGAGCCATAAGAAGGGCGGGCTCAGTGTGTGCAGTGTGCGGAGGAAGCACAGGCAGTCATGCAGGAGGCTTGCTGGAGCGAGGGAGCAGGCTGAGAAGGGGACGGTGAGCCACGTTGACAAACAATTCTTGTTTTCTGCATTAATTTGTATTGTCATAGGTGCTTTTTCTTCCCACTGGTCCCTAACTCTCCTCCCTCCACTCCCCCACCCCCATCCACCACTCCCCAGGAGAGAAGGAAAAAGCCTGTTCTCGTGGACGAAACAGTCATGACTTGCTTGTCACAAACTCTGTGATAACGCTGTTCCTCAAGTGAAGACTTCACTGTATCGAAGGGGTAACACATGGTAACTGCATTTTCTAAACACAAAATCAGATGTTATTTAATAAAATCTTTTTGGAGGTGAAATTCAAATAGACAAATATGGGTACTTCCAGACCATCTTTGTTGTTTCCGTGAAGAATATTTTGTGCCGGTGCGATCTGGCACATTGGAAATGTGGTCATGGCGCTCATGTCATGGGCAGTGTATCAGCGAGATGCATGAGGTCTCCGAGAGAGTGGCAGGGCCGAGTCCTGTCGCGTGTCCTCAGATGGCTGGGCATCGTGCCATGCTGTCGAGCCTTGTTTTAGGGCAGCCCCCAAAAAACTGTGTAAATATACTGATTTAATACTCTCGAATATCAGTAATTTCCTTTGCGATAGTAAACTTTTTTTTGTTTTTAAAAGTACTCTGCCTCAAGCGACTTGGGTCTCTGATAGTGTTTGACAGACATCGAAGCAGCGTAGCTGAGCTTGACAGTTCTGGAGGTGGAGACTTTCATAGGATTAAGAGTTTTTATTTTTACAAAAGAGAAAAATATTTCAGTCTTTCTGAGGGTGTTTAGGAATCTTCTTTGTTCCTCTGGTCTCTGCAGAGCACAGAGAATGAAATGGCTTTGATTGTTAATTATTAATCCCTCTGCTTGGCGCAGAGCCGATATTAAACCAATATTTGTTGCTGGCCTTAACTTATCCTAGATGCTCTTCTTCCGCTGTAACAAGGTGAAGTTACTCACAGGAGCCTACTACGTCAGGGAGCCCGGGAAGGAGTTCCTGGCGGGGCTGCAGCCTTTTTTAGGGAAAGGTATTTGAAGAGGTGCCAAAGGGACCATGAGATAGAAAGATAAATGAAATGCATGGCTTGTTACGTTCCAAGAATAAGAACTAAAAATATTTCTAAAACTAATACTATATTTGATCGTACGTGAGCTACCCTTATGGAAATAGCCCATAGGGTGTGATAATAATAATACCACATAATGCCATATCCATTGTGTGGTAATAATAATAGCTAATGTATATTGGAAGCTTTTCCCTTCCGGACACTGTTTTTATGTTTTTTACATGTATCAACCAATCTCATATGTTATCTTTTAGCGCTTTGGGGTCATTGCTGGCGCAGTGTCGGGTGCTGGTATTACAGCAGCGTAGAGAATGCCAGGCAACAGAATCCACGGTATGTGGAGTTGTTCCTCTCTCTGGATTTTTGTAAAAAATGTGTGGTACTTTATATCCCTTTGATGGACCAATTAGACGGCAAGAAGAAACTTTCAAAACCGTGGACTGGGTTCTCAATGCTTATTTCTCTCTTTGTAGGTATATATCATTTCTGTGGCAATCGAGTGGCTCTTTCCTAATGGGCTGGAGTAGAAGTGAAATTTAAGTTAGATATAGATCTTGATTATAAGGTTTGTAAAATCTTTTTTCCTCAGTCTACACTCGCCTATTACGGGGCTTGCGCCAGTTAAAAATTGGCCGTTCTGTTCCTAAGCAAGATGGGGAGAGTACACAGCGGGGAGCAACCCGCAGCTTCCGCCGAGGTCTCACATGTCCACACGCCCCTTTCTTCCCCTCCACAGAAAACTCTCACCCCTTCCTCAAGGAAGACAGCTCTGATAGCCCGTTCATTTCCTTCCTCGCGGTAAGATTCAGGCTCTCTGGGTCATGTACAGTTTTCTCTCTCGGGGCTGGATGTGGCCCGTTGAGGTCTGGCAATCTGGTATTTAAAACAGACGAGCTCTCTGCCCCCAATACACCCTGTCCCACGCTGCTGTCATAGAAATCAGGACCATCGGTCCCCTTGCACCCCGAATTGGTGATCGATCAGTCTCCTGGTCGCCCTGTGATAGTCCAGGTTGTGCCCTCCAGGAAGAACTGTCTTGCCCGGCGTCCTTTGGGGTCGTGGCTTTGCCCTCTGGGAGGGTCTTCCCTGTATGGCGTCTGAGGTGGACACTGGTGAGCATGGGCTTCTCACACTCGCTTCCTGGGAGGATTGGAATCTGGTTGTTTTGGGGACTGAACAGTCATAGCTTTTTATGGGCCAGCCTTATGGTTTCTGTGGAGATATAAGTCTCTCGAAACTTTAGTAGGCCTCTAGTCTGTTTGCTTCTGATTGGTTCCATGTGAGTAACCATCAAAGATCTTGTCTAGACAGTTTTTCAGCCCAGAAACTCTGGTCTTTTAAAAGCCTCAATGCTCTGCCATCCCCTTCCCTCCCAATTTAATGGTGGCTCCCTTGGGCCAAATGAAACAGTGGGCGTGGGTGAAAGGCCAGGCCCTTAATCACATCTTTGGCACAAGGATCCTGGGCTCTATGTGGCCAAGCATCTGTCTTATCTCCTGCTGGGGCCGCAGGGACAGCCCCGCAGGCTCAACTTAGATCCCCGGTTGCAGCCAGAGAGCTCCTTTCTTATCAAATCTGTATTCTTTTCCACCTTCTTGGGCCTGGTTAGCTGTAGTTGGAGGTCATTTCTCTTTTATCAAACCTTGCTAAGAGTGTCAAGGACCAACAAACATTGACACTTTGAATGTTCAGAACTATTTCCTGTAAGGATATAGTGTCTAACGGACACCTGGTCTACCTCCCAACATATAGGAAGGCCGGGGCTTGATCAGAGGCTTTGCTGCCTGACACCAGTTATCAGTGGAGAACCTGTGTGACCTGTGCCCTTGCCAGTTGCCCCCTGCCCAGCTCCTCTGTATCAGGCTGCATTTTAGGCCTTGTTACTGGTGGTGTGCACAAGGTCTAAGACCTAGCAGTCCTGTTCAGGTGCCAGTTTCTAGGTCAATTAGGATTAGGTTCAGCTGTGTGCAACAGAGGTCCCAAAATAAAAGTGGCTTAAACAGGATGGAAGTTTATTTTTCTCTCCTGCAGATGAAATGGGCTGAGATGGGCAGCCCAGAGTTGGTGTGTTGGCCCACAATGTCGAGGACCCAGTTGGGTTGCTCTGCTGTCCTCAGAAAATGTCCAAGGGGCGACCCCAATGTTTTTGTTCTTATATGAGCCAATGAGCGGGAGGAGGGGTAAAGAAGGCTGCACCCCCATCCTGTGTGGGCTTTCCCGGAAGTTGCACATGACCTTTTTGTTTATATACCATGGCCAGGACCTAGTCAGGTGACCTATCTACCTACAAAAAAGGCTGGGAAGTAAATGTGGCTTTTATACTAGGCATCCATGGATCCAGCTGGAAATCAGACTTCTATTGCTAAGGTGGAGTGGAGGGTAGCTATTGGGAGACAGTTAGCAACCTTTGTTTCAGACATGTACTTTCAGTTTTTCAGACTCCTAAGAAAAATAGGTGGAGGCCTTTAAAGTAGTATACACACTATCGTAGCCCCACTACCGGCCAAATTTAAAATCATGGGTGAAGATAATTATTTGATTTGTAACACTCATTTTGTTTCACTGCGTACTCAAGGTCATTAGAGGCATTTTTCTTAGATTATTATAAATCTAGGAGGATCTAGAAATTTCTCTTCTGACAAGTATTTTGGAGGACATTATGGTTTCTTCTTTGACTGCAAACCCAGCTGAACAACTGTGGTGCTGACGTAGAAGTTGAAAGCTTTCGTTTGACCTCTGTGTGTGCGAGCAGGCTTGTCTTGAACCACGGCCACCTCCACCTCGTGAATCTGGAAGTTGCAGACGGAAGTGTGAGTGTTACTTGCTGATAACTGAGTGTCTCCCCTGCGAAAGGGAAGAGTCACAACCATGGGAGTGAGTGTTGTTTCCTCGGCATAGTCTGGCGTGGGTATGCTGCCCAACTGGTTTGGT